TTTTTTTTTTTCATGCATCCATCTCCATACTGCAAAGCCATCTGTTCTATGCATGTCCAAGCATTAGATTTGCAGGTAAATGTTTCTAACTGCTCCACGGCTTTCAGTTGTTTTAGTCTTGTCTGCTGGGGGCAAGCCTTCAAACGTTCTAGCACCATTTAAAAGTCTTACTTAATCTTTCATTTTTTAAAAATGTCTTAAGCCTGGGGTTCCCAGACTGTGCTGTGTATACCCCTGCAAGACACCTCTGTGGGGGTATGTGGGAGAAATTGTGTAAAGGTGGATTTAAATTTTTTTATAATAATTGGCATTTAAGGGGGTAAAATATAAAATGTACACTGGTTAGGGGTATTTGGGCAGCTGGTAAATCTGGAAGGGGGTACGCAATAAGAACAAATTGGGAACATCTGCCTTGAGCAATAACTATCATAGAATTAATTGTTAGTTAACCGTATTGCTGAACTGTCTGCATGGTAAGAAATCAGCACTGGGGCTAAGTACAGGCAGTCAAAAAGCCAGAGGCTGAATCGATTCAGTCTTTGCAGGTTAGTCTATGGTGTGTAGATTGAACCGATAGGCAAATGGACAGACCTCTGCTTTTGATTCCAGAAATACAGCCGCGTGCCTGCAGTGGGCCAGGCCTGAACCTCGGGGTGGGGCACATTAGACTATGCTTCCCTGCTTGGCTGGAGCACACAGCTTGGACCAAGGCTAGCCCACCCAATCTGCAAGGGGAAGGAGGCTTGGGGGAGGTGCAAAGCATCCTGGGATTCTGCAGGATTGTGAGTTAACATAAATCTAGAGGGGATCTGGGACAGACGTTCAGTAAACCAATTTAACCTAAATCAGGTAAGTCTGATGCTACATCCATCCAGGTTTATCGTAAACCAGTTTTGGTCATTTTGAAAGTAGTTTGTGTGCACTGAACTTCTGTTGTTACAGATTTGAACTGGTGTCCAATCAGTTATACTGGTTTATATGCAATTTCTGTCCCTAGCCCTGGGAGACATGTAGTTAGTGTTTTGGTCTACAGTTCCTGCGTTAGTGATGTAGTAGGTGGTATTAGCTTAAATAGTAAGTTAACACTTCACATTTTACAAACAGTAAGTAACTTTTCTCCCTCCCTCTTCTCACAAACACATACCTGTTTGTTTGTCACATTGCCTGTTCTATGATCACAAAATAAAAGACACTTAAAATGTATGCGAGTACAGAGAGGTTGAATTAAGGTCATTATTGAAAACTGTAACCTGGAGCTTACAAGTGTGTGCATATGTTTGTAAAACACTATATTTGGTGTAAAAACGTATAGTATCTTTTTACATCTAATGTAGGTCTCACAAGAAAGACGAGGAAAAGAAAGGTTTATGAAAGAATAATGTGCATACAAGAAAAATACATTCCTAATTCACTGATTGCACTGAACCAGTCACTTCTAATAATTCTCAGGTTCCTGTGCACGTGTGGTAGTGGGAATGGGAAGTGATGCAGAATTGGGGAAATAGGCTGTTTAGCTACCTGAAGTGTTTTCTTCCTCGGTAGTTCAGAGAAATGTTGAGGATTTTTATTCCTCCCCTCCCCCCCCCCTTTTTTTTTTGAGGGGGTGGGATGGGGGGAAGGAGAGTACTGGGGACAGATCAACTTTTCCTTAGAGTATAGGGAGTAACGGTTGCTATTCAGGATTACAACGTCTCAAGAACCTGTTTTTGCTATAATTGGTGCATGCTCATTACTTCAGAGCAGCTTGATACTTTAAGGCAGTGGTTCTCAACCTTTTCAAACTCGAGTATCCCCTGAAAAATTCCAGCTCTTAGTTTTCACCTGAGGTTTTTTTTTTTTTTTACTACAGACTCATAATAATAGAGCAGTTCTTCTGTTGCAAAGAACTCAGAAAGACCATAACAGGTCACAATATTTTGACACCATTGATTCCTCTTTGAAGTCTCTGGATTTATCTTGTGAATCATATTTGCATGCCTAACAGTGCTGATATTGTGTGGTTGTCCCATGGCACCCATGAATGGATCTCAAGACACGGTAAGCTGCTGCAACACTCTGGGTGGGAATCACTACTTTAAGCTCCCAGTGATTTATGTATCCAACCAGATACAAAATGAAAAATGTTGGCAGAAATGTAAAAAGTATAGGAAGGGACATCCGTTCATTCCACCAAATCATTATTTTTAAAACACTAGCACGTGTCTGCGGATGGAAGTTATTTGGAGAACATGGCATTGAATTGGATAAGAAGAGAAGCATTTCTCTGCTTAAATATGCAGGGTACCAAAGCAGTCTTCTTGGTCTCTGCAGGAAGATTGAAGACCATAGCTGCATAGATACGTGCTGCTAATTATAATGCATTAGGACCCATTGCACAAAGTCACATGAAATAAACTCTCAGCTGTTTCTGGTAGGGGTGTCATTTTGGCCATGTATATTTTGTAGCATTACTACCATGTTTCATTTGGCAAATCTGTCTTGATCACAATATGGCTAGTTGCAGTAGCACCTGTTAAATCTAGGGCTGTTGTCTTTAAAGCTGGAGATGCTTCTGAAGTTAGGCAGCAGATAAGATGTTTCAGATTCAGTTATTCATACAACCAGGTATAAATAGGATTGGAAAAGTCATTTCAGTTGCTTCTTGGTGAAGCAAGCCTGACTGAAGCTATGGGAATCTTGGAGAGAATAGCTGCTTTGTATGTGCCGATGTTCTTCCAGGATAATACAGAAAAGGGAACAGAAGGCTGTCCTAATTCTCCTGACATCAGCCTTCTCAAGGGGGATCTGGCATTGAAAGTGATGGCCTGCCCTTGGTTGCACTTGGTTGAGTTGGGAGCAGATTTAACTTTACAGTTTGCAGATCTTCCTGGCATCAAGGCTACTGAGAGGCATTCATTATCATGAAAGTCTAACAAACACTTCATCGAAATCTAGAGAAAGCTGGGCTTGTAATAGTTTCTGTTGTAGCTGAAAGGTTCTAAGTTAGTGATGATGTCTCAGTTAACTTAAGGTTACCAGTCCTCACTCTTACAGACCATAATGAGCAGCGTTAAGAACGGGTTAGAGGGAATAAGGAGTATCTATGGGTAAGGCTTTTGTGGGGCAAGGGGAGGACTCATAATTTTCCACTGGTGTCACCATTGTTTCAAATGATAGCAATGATGGAAGACCAGAAGAAGTTCATGATGCCGTGCTAAATGCACCAGAGATCCCTAGAACTGCCAGCATTGTTGGTATTGGGTAATCGGAGGCCTTGTACAGACATTCGGTTTCTCCTGGGAGAGCGGCTGCTCTCAGGTGAAACCATGCACATATGGATGTTCACTCTGGGAGAAAGAGTAAAAATGGCTGCTCCAGGAGAAAAATCACAGAACAACCAGGGTTAAATCACTTCCAGGAGAGTTTCTCCAGGGAGAGTGAATGTCTGCACATGCTGTGACAACACAGGCTGGCCATGGGCAGTTTGGGTTAGCCAGTCAGGGCTGTCCTGTGCGCTGCTTGCTGCCATTTGTCGCCTGGCAAATTAAGGGAGCCTGCAGAACATATTGCAGTGTGCGCACGGGGCCCCCCCTGGCTGCAGTGTCAGCGCTGCAAGCTTGCCGTTCTTCAGGTCCTCAGCATTTGAATAAAGTTGGGGGATCTTGTGGCTGTCTACAACTTTATCAGGGGCCACCGACAGGGACTCGGGGAAAGTCTGTTCACCAGGGCCCCCCTTGGAGTCACCAGGAACAATGGCCGCAAGCTGAGGGAGGATAGGTTTAGGTTAGATATTAGGAAGAACTACTTCACTGTAAGGGTGGCCAGAGCCTGGAATAGGCTTCCCAGAGAGGTAGTGCTCTCACCTTCCCTGGAAATCTTCAAGAGGAGACTGGATAGGCACCTGGCTGCGGTTTTATGACCCCTCCCACCCCCAGTGCTCCTTCCTGCCCATGGCAGGGGGTCAGACTAGATGATCTGTCTGGGTCCCTTCCGACTCATGATTCTATGATTCAGGTCCTCAGCATTTGAATGTCTGCGCATGTGGCTCCAAGTAAGTTTTTCTACCACAAGAACAAACCTGGGAGAATTATTCCAGATTATATGAATGTATGTGTATGTAGCCAGAATACCTGGAAGGGGTGGACGTGGAATGGGAAAAAGTTTCCTAATATAGACAGTCCTTTGTGCCTTCAAGAAAGGGAAGGAAAGCAAGCTTTGTTTTTGGGTGAATGGATGATAGTAACTGTTTAGTAACTTTAGGGAAAATACATTTACTTGGAAAGCTCCCAGCCTCCAAACAACTGTTTTTAAATTGACCTTCACATTCACATTTCAGATATGTGGATGCTGATGGGGGTTGTTTGTTTGTTTGGGGGTTTTTTTTTCCACCATTTTTTCTCCGCCCCAATTGAACTTGTTCACATTTGGCTATCCCTGTCATTAGCATTCAAAATGGAGAACTTCAGTGTCTTGTTCAAATCCTCAACTGAAAGAAGCATTTAGTATTTGAGTATCTGCTTTGTATCTGTATAAGGGAATCATCCCCCCAAAAAATCTTCAAGGAGTTATACATATTAGTGGACCTAACCTTATAATGTTCTTCTGAATCAAGTAAGAATCATTCATTACTCTTCTTTTGCAGGTGTGGGAGTGCAGACACATTTTTCCAGAGGTATGGAAAAGCTTAATTTCACAAGTTGTGCTTTCAAAAGTGACTGCTGGCTGGCTTTTTCCATGTTCAGTTTGAAGTACCTTGGTTTTGGTTTTCAGAATATTCAGCATTACTTTTGAAATCAATTTAAGCTGTCCAGAGCACTTGTGAAAAATTGGGGCTATTTTTTTCAAGACCAAGTTGTAGCAAAAACAAGTACTTAAGCATCTTGAAAGGCCTCTTGAAAATGTGTGATTAAATGTCATACTAACCCTGTGGCAGAGTAGAGGGTAGAAATCGGGTCTGGTGATGAGCAGGCAATTCTTCTGCAGTGATGTGTGTAGCGTTTGGGTGGTGAAAGGCATATCACGATGGTGGTTTAAAGATTTTTCATGGTTTAAAGGAATGTTTCTCCAGAGTAAGGAAGAGAGAATAGGTTGCAGAAATTGCGACTTGCCATTACTTAAACTGACCGATGAGGGAAGGAATGTAACTCAGTGGTCTCTGATGCAGTTGTAGAAGCAAAATATACAAAGAGCCTTATTGCCTCTCTTACAGCTTGTGGTCAGTGATCCCAATTTACTTTCTAGTGAATGTGCCAAAAAGCCAGTGTGGGTAGCCACATTTAACTGAACTGAATTTTCTATTTAATTTTTGTGTTGGTTACTGCTGATAATCTATTGCTTCAGGTAAATGCTCATTATTTTTTACTGTATTAATAATGAAGTGCACAAGGCAGTGAGAAAATTGTTTGCTTAATCTCTTAACATGGCATACTGCTGAATCACAGCTTCCTGCTCCAGCAAGATTTTCTTAGTCTATACTACTGTATTGTAGAAGAAAATAAGACTTGGTCATATTTAGAGGAAGAACTGAAATGTCTGTGGCTTATATGGAAGATGTTTAAGTGATAATTAGATTCTTTAAAAGTGCCTAGATGTGCTGTGATTTATACATTGCATGTGATCCTTGGACTATGTTTTTTTGCCTGGATGATCTTTGGATACAGTGCAGGATACAAGGTCAAATGAGCTGTGGTAGAAGAGGTTTTTATCACTTGTATGAAATGCAGTAGCAATGGAAACAGGTGCACCTGACTATAGTAGTTCATAAAGAAAAGTAGAACAAGTCTTGAGCAGAGGAGGCAGCTAAGAGAATGATGCTTGAGAAGTGGAAGCTCCAACTCGTGAGTTAGAAGTCAAGATTTGAGTTAACCAGATAATGTGTAACACTTCTGAAATACGTAGAGTAATAGTAGTGGCAGCGGGTCTGCCAACTGTTTTTAGGTAGTGTATGAAGAATATTTAGCTTTTTTAAGTTGGCAGTGACTGGTGAGCCTTAAAAAAGGAATACCTGGAAAAAGAGTCGCTGTCCATCAAGGTTTATATGTTTCAAATTGTACTTGGGTGAATGCTACCTCTATTAGTAGATCTGTAGAAAAGCAGGATCATTGAAGAAGACTTGAATATTTTAGTATTTGGAAATGTACTTCAGGTTAAATCTTTTGGATATAGAAAACAACCTGTATAGAATCAACTAACTTGTTTTTGGAAAGATGTTACAAAGCTTGCTTGGCTATTTAATTTCTGTCTACTACGACAGGTCACCTGGAAAATGGAGTTTAAATGCAGGCAATATTGGGTCAAAGGAATGCAAAGCAACCTTTTACAAAATACACTGGGTAGAGCAGCATTGGGTGGTTTGTAGTGCCATTGCAATGTAAACTATGATACTGGCAAACTGTCATGCCCCATAGTGTTGCTTCCTAACCTAGACAACTGGTAATGCAGTAGCTTCTGTGCAGATTTTCACAGACATTATTCTACCTTTAACTGGTACCAGTTTTAGGTAAAACCAAAAAAAAAATCTGGATTGTCTTCAAATTTATTTCTTAAACTTGTGCCACTACTGTCTTTGGCTCACATCATAACATTTTTGCCTGTTTTTTTTTGGTTTTTTTTTAAGAGATCAGAAAGGATCTGCAGGAAGAGAAGGGATTAGCTTGTAGCTCAGGCAGGTCAGTGGAATCCCAGAGAAATAGAGTCTACTCCTTTGGCGCTGGGCAGATCAAATCAAGTCAGCATTTTCATATGTGGTCATTCTGATCCTGATTTTCTAGGAAACCCAACTCGAGGTGCTTAGGGACTGATTTGCAGCTGTGCTTAGCACTGGCTACAAGCAGGGGCATAGGGATTCTGATCTGATCATATGAAAATCATATCCTACACATCCTATAACATGTCAAGCCTTGTGAAAAGTGAGACCCTGTGCTGCTTAAATTGTTCACTCCAAAATAGAGGGTGCTTTGGATAGTTTTTTAATCTTTTGGTGTTCTGCTCTGTAAAGTGAGGATGATGATGCCACTTGACTTGTCAGAAGTGTTCTGAAGACAAATTCATTCACGTTGGTAAGAAATGAAAATACTATGACAAGAGCACCAGAGGCATCTGCTTGACTTTTTTGACGTTAACATTAAAAAGAAAAGTTACATTTAAGTAGTTGGCAAATGCATGGAATAAATGGCACCAGTTTCTGATTCTGTAATTTTGTAGCTGGATGAGAAAAGATGCTGAATAGATGATCTAAGCAGAGGAGCCACATGTCTGAAGCAATATACACTGATGTGAAGGAGCTACATTTTTAAGTGACCAATACCATAAAGATGGTAAAACCTGTGAAAACTGGGGACACCATGGAGTCAACAGACGGACATCCTGAGAAGGGCAGAAAGATGAGGGGGACATGCCATTATCAAGGCAAGTGCAGTGGGAGGGGAAGGGGGGAGAAGATGGTGCAAAATCACCCATAAAAGCCCAGGCAAAGATGAAACCTGCAGGACTGTTTCCACCAGCTGAGAAGACCTGTGGACTCCCCCAGAAAAACTTCTGAACGCCTGGCTTCAGAGATACTCTGTTCTTGGGACCACGTAAGACTTGTGTAAAATTTCTCTTGTGTCTTGACTTAGGCTGCATTGTGTATGTTGTTGCTGTGTCTGTCTTGTTTGGTGGTGTCTTAGTTTAAGCAAAGTTTTGTGTTGTTTGTTGGTCTTGTACTTGAAATTGCAAACTGCTGCGCTCAATAAACGCTCTCTCCAGAGAATGAACTATGCTTGTCCAAGTATTTTCATGACTTTGGTGCCACTACCTAAAATCTAATATTAAGTCTAACACACTCTGTTATCAAACAGTATATCCCTCTCCCTCAACACACTACTCTCCAAAATTTGAGGATTTTCTTGGGTCAGCATAAAAACGAATTCTCATATGTAACTGCTAAGAGCATGTTATAAATACTAACAGGCAAAAGCTTTTTTTTTTTTTTTTTTTTCTTGCAGTGGGTTTCTTTCTCTTGGTAGTTGGGAGTGGGGTAAATGAAATAATTGATGTGCACTGTTAGCTGTAGACCAGGTTTCATGCGGCAGATCTTTCCTTTGGCATGCATATAGGAGCAGCGCATTTTAGCACCTCGCCTACAGCATCCACCTCCTGATAGCAAACTTGCCAATAGAAAAGCATTCAGCACTTCATTATTTCTACAACCTGAGTGCATTTGCAAATTAATTGATGTGTGGGAGGAAAGGCATCTGCTATTGTAAAAACCCTTAACTATTGCGGGAAAATTAGAAATAAAACCGGCTGGCTATAGTAAGTTGATATGTAGTTACAGGTGGTGAGGCCTCCAAACTCAAGTGGCCTCTTGACCCTTTTTCTAACATCTTTGCTGACTTGGGTGTTCACTTTCTTTTAATAAAATGTTCTTTTATTTGAAACACATATTGCTTGCTATTAATGATGCTGAGAGCAAATGGTGGGTTGAGATAATACTTCTGTTTTTGTATAGCTAGTGGATTCCTATATGTTGCTTGCTCAGCAGAGTATTAATTAGCCCCATAATGAGTGATTTGGAGCAATTTAACTATGATACTTTTAGGAATTTCCCGTGGCAATAATATGAAGCACGTCTCATTTGTTTGATCCTAAAAATCTTTCTGAAGTGCCATTGGCTTCATTTATTCTTACCAACAGCATTATATATATTGAGAGGTAACAGGAGATAAGGCAATAAAACTGTTTTGATTCCTTTCCGCAAAAGGCAGCCACTGTCTTCTATGCGTTTGGTTGCTTGTACCATAAGCATTGCTGTGGCATCTGAACGCCTTTACCTGTCAGCAACTGGTAACTTTTTGTCAATGACTGAACATGGAGCAAAGAAATTCTTGGTTTAAATTACAGTCTTCTTGCCCTACTAGATTGTTGGATCACTTGGCTTACCCAAGTAGTGCAGAGGAGGGTGAAAAATATGCTATCTTTTCTCAGAAGTAAAGATGATAGAACCCTTGCTGTTATCCTTTGCGCTGTGGTAAAAGAAATGTGTATCAAAAGAGGTGTTTTTGCAAAGCATATGGCTCTTACGCTAGTTCAGAATACAGTACATTTTGGATTTGGTTGTAAAACAGTTCTGTGTTTTTTGCACTCTTGAGTTGGAGTGTGACATCTTCAACAGATGGACAGCTAAACTCCTTCATA